CCCCCCCCCCCCCCCCACCCCTTCAAAAAAAAAAAAACAAGACATACGCACGCACGAGTGTTCACATGCACTTGCGCACTTCATTTTATAGCCCAACGGCACAGATCGAATCTGAGCAACGGCCATAATTATTATTTTTTATTCTTTTAAAAAAAAAAAATTTGACCAAACCCCTAAACCAAATTATCCTTGAAACGTTCAATGATATTTTGGCCAATTTCTTATTTGAACTATTCTTTCTATGTTTTTTGTATTCATTGGGTGCACCCTTGTAAGATGCATAGGCACTCCAAATTTCATGTGAATAAGATTTGTAAAAAATAAAAATAAAAAATTAGTTTTTGCCATCCAATTGATGACTGGGTCGTCGAGACCTTGCTCATGCCCAAATTTTTGCATCTTTTGACTCAGAACAAATGCGTTATGAGTATTTGAAAATCATCCCGAGAGATGAAAACATATTTCGAGGTTGCACCGCAATAGTGTAAAACCTACTTTTTTTGGTAATTTGGGCCCATAATAGTCCATAAATGTTTGATTGAGCCCAAATTTGTCACCTAAAGGTGGGTGAGGTTCAATTTGGGCCATTAGGCATACAACTGCAGTACGTGAGTAAAGCACATTACAGTGGGAGAGCACATCACAGTGGTATACTCTCCACACATACACAAATACAAATCTATCTCACATCTGACAATTCACTGGAACTTGTTCATTCCATGATAGTCGTCACTAATTTTAAGACTGGCTCTTTCTATTTGAAAGGGAGTTACATGTAATGTATCTACGCTTAAATTATGTTTAATTCAGTTATTGTTCTTTGTATAAGATTACCTTAACTAATTTATGACTGCCACATCATTAATCAAGGAACAAGTGACTGTTCATCAGACAACACATCAAATCATCAACAATGCTAATAGTGTGCCATTTGTAGAGCATCCACCTAGAAATTCACAGTTGCTCAACACTCAAGAATGAAAGAACAAGGCTAACGCTCAAAATATGAATAGTTCAAAATCATTTGCCTTAATTACAATTATTGCTAACAACAGCTGAATATGTATATCAACTAGTCAAGTGGGCCAAGCTGTTATCTTTTGATTCTTATCTAAGAAAATTAATATTACCCAGTAGGCTGGTCCAAGAGATTATATGGTAGAAGCTTGACATATTTCACCTCTTAACAGTCCTATCGAATTCAACATTGCTGATTAACAGCAAAAGGCTCTACATTATATATAGCACAAAAGGACTACATAATGGCATTTCCAGAGCAGCACATACCTGTCAAAAATCGGAACCAGAGTTTAAAAATAGTCCCATCACTGCTGATAGAGAAGTGACAAGGCCTAGTAACATACAAGAAAACAGTTTGTAGAATAACGATTTCAAGAAATTTCTTTCATATCTTATCCCTTACAAAACGATAACTGATAGTTATCCCTCCTGGAGACAATTGTAGATTGCATGAAAACTAATTGGAGAACAGCAATATCAAGAGATCATTATCGTATCTCACATTTTAAACCCTCATAAGACAGTATTAGATGGTTGTCACAATAGACATAATAATCCCAGACCAGGACATGCATTCAGCCCAGGTTTCACACAGTTTTATTTTTTCTTCCTTTTTGGGTAGTAAAGCAAAGGGAAAACATTAATGCATCATTCAATTAGGCATTTCAATACAGCATTTTACTATCATAGTAATCAAATAAAAAAAGTTCTAATAAATAGAAATAACATGTGGCAGTTATTTTAATGCATTGCTAAGATGTTGCAACAAAGAAAGCAGAAATGGATGGCACCAGACCAAAATGCGGAAGTTGCCTATGGTTGGAGACAATGTATTGATAGCAGCTAGCAAAAAAATCTAACGTAAGCATAAGCATAAAGAAATGTTCGTGTCATCCTTACAAACATTGTGACTCCATGGTTGCATCTTTTCATTGTGCAAATGATGGTTCTTTTTGTAATTCTTTACATATGATTAGTAATATATCATAGGTTCTTTATTTTCATGTTGGTCGTCTCAGATTCTTTTTTAAACGGAAAAAAAAAAAAATCAAATACACAAGAAGATCCAACAGAACATTATTTAATCAACCAACTCCCAACTGCTATACTCATCATAACGATAAGAAAATTGTTTTATCATACAACTAATGATAGAATTCCCAACTTGTTTGCAGTTATCATATGATACTTTCAGGCTGCCACAAGTGTTCTCCCCCAGTCCCTCCCTATCAAAGTGAATCCTCCCGAGAAAGTTAAACTTCTTGAGTGACTAAAGCACTCTACACCAGTACAAAAGTAAATAATTCCGAACCAAAGTCAATGAAAAAGAAAAAAAGGGAAAATACAGAAAAATATTATAAAATAGAAAGCCTATTTCACAAGTTAAAAAACGCAAGAAAAACAATAATCAACAACAAAGGTAATTCAAGCATAAAAAAAAAACAAGAAATGTCATTCATAAATGGTACAACCAGAATCGAAAGAATCACATTAGGATATAGTAGAGGTTCAAACCGATTACCATGAATCCTAATTCAAAAATTAAAGAGAGGAAAGAAACCCTAGGTTATGGATTTGAAATGCACTGTAGAGGGAAATACCACTAACGAAGAGCTTGGTGGTGGAGAGCGTTGAGTTTGCCCTAATTTGAGTCAAGTGAGATGACAATCCGAAACTGCGACGAAGCCCATTAGAGGTGAACGCCATTGAAGCCAACACTCGGGAGAATCTTCTGCAGTCTTAAGGTCACGCAAGACACTCAAGCGAAGTAGGTATATATAGTATACACAGGTTGAGGTTCGGGAACTCCTTTAGGGTTAAAAAACTCGTGATCCGGATCGGAATCGGCCAATCCGCATTGAGAATTAGGCGACTGTTTTGGATCTCGTAAAATATCGGGAATCGGTCCGTTTCCCCATGAACCGGCCGGTTTCCCGTAATGAATAGGCAGCTTTTATTAAAAAACTGGTACAAACCCGTCCTTCTGAATTTCCTTTAAATTTTTTTACTTCCGATTCAGATTTTTTATCCACCTAGCCGTTGAACTGGATCAAAATCCTGGTGGTGCAATCCAAGTCATGGATATATTTTTTTAAACCTTGCCGCCACTTAAATTTAGCAGAGGATGTAATTTTGGGGCCAACGTCAAGTTGATCAATTTGAAGGTGTTTCAATTTCAAAACACTCTTTCCTACTGTGCCTTATATAAGGTAGTAATTTTATACAAACTCATTGGGGAGATTTGTATAAGGTGGCCCCCTTGTATTGTAAGAAAAAAAAATACACTTCTAAAATAGTATAAATTAAGTATATCAAGTGCAACTTGTTACATACTCAAGATAAAGTATACTATGAAAATATTATGTACATGCTCCTGCATGGTATAAATTTACTTCCTCTACAAATGTTTTTTAACACTTAGATCTCACCTTTCAAAAATTGGATGATCTCTATTCAATCTTGAGACATTATTTTTCTCGACTGTACATGGTGGATGCAATTACGAAAGTTTTTTTTTATCAAGGCCAATATATGGGCTTTAAGAGGTTACATGCCTAAATTCTTAGGACCTAAAATTAATCCATCTTGTTTTCCCCAAGGGAGTAAATGGATAGCATACTCTTGTAGGAGCATAATATCTTTTGAAAGCAATATTTATTTAACTCAGGTATAGTGTCCTCCAAAACAATATCAATGTTTATATGGTTGTTCGCTGAACCAAATGCGGCCTAATTTTTTTAAGAAAATGATCATACTGCCCTTGCCAGTATTACCTTTGGGGAAGTTTATTAAGATCCATGAAATTGAAACAATCAATAATAATCATGATATCATGCGTATCGGTTCAATGGATGGATGGTGATGGAAAGGAAGAGTAAAACTGCCAACTTGGTGTAGTATCATGTTCTTGTGCGTTTATGCTCTCTCCATCGCCATCTGTTGAGCGATTGGTACGATGTAGATACTTGTGTTTAGGGATTTTTTGTAGCCATATGAATTAGTATGTACTTTTCATTATCCTTGGTTGGGAGAAATTATGAAGTAAGCTTGCTCATTGTGGTACAGCTGGTCAAATATATGTTTAATTTGATGTTAATTTGGAGAAATCAATAATCTAACTTTATTAGAATTGAAAGTTAGATATGTAAGAATGAACTCAAGGCATAGGTGGTCAGGTTACTAGTTACTACAACATTAATTTTTGGATTCTATTGCTACCATGGTCGAAAACTCTTCCTCATAATGCTATAGTGAGCCAAATATATGTTTAATTTGATGTTGATTTGGAGAAATTAATGATCTAGCTTTATTAGAGTCGAAGTTAGACTCAAGGCATAAGTGGTCAAGGTACTGGGTACTACAATATTACTCCTTGAGTTCTATTACTACCATGGTAGGAGACTCCTCCTCAATAATCCACACCCCCCCTGTAAATGTACGGGTTTGGGCCCTAGTGATGATCAACTTGAACTCCAGGATTTGGCTGGGGAGTCCAAATCCGGATCAACAGATAAACACCAAATTTTCATTAACGTCTATCAAACTAAAGTTAAGTTCGAGTGGAGTCGATTCGATCTTAGAACTGTCTAGTATATATTCAAGGCCCTACCTAGATTCCAATAAATCAGGATCCACCCAGCCATTGTAGTCAATTCGATCTTGGAATTGTATAGCTCTAGCAAAGTTCCACCATTGCTTGTCAAGCAGAGTTGTGCCACCATTGTAGGCCACTAGAGGTGCAGATTGAATCGTGCTTGCTTATTTGTTCACACAAATGTATCGTGACAACTGTTTGGGAGGTCACATGAGATTTGTGTTTTTAAACAAAATATGTTGAATAAATGACAGAGGGTGTGGTTTGTATAAAGTTGTAACCTTAAAAAATCAAATTAAGGCGCACCTCAAATGTTTATCGTGGTGTAAAAAATTCTTGGGATAGTTTGAGAATCTATTGTCATCTCCAATTTATAAAATTTTAAACTCCAAAAATAGTTCAAATCGAGTAGATCTATAAACACTTGAAAATCTCAAAAAATAGACGGTCTAGATAATGTTTTAAAAAATATACTATTTTTAGGACTTAAAATCCCTTTTTCTTTTCATATTTATACATCTCGGTATAGAGATGATCAAAGGGTTGTCCAACATCAAAACAACCTTTTATGATGGATTTTTGAGGTGCACCTTAATCTACATTTTAAGGTAGCAACCTTACATAAAGGTTTTCCAATGATAACATATTTGATAAAAAAATAAAGAAATACTTCGTCTTAAAATAAAAAAATAAAGAAATACGTCGTCTTAACTATCACTTGGAAAAAGATCCACAGACGGTAAGATACAAGATAGGCATATAATAATGCAGAGAAAAGCCAAAGGGTGACTAACTAAAGTTGTATGGTACAAAAGCATTATAATGACCTCCTATCTAATTAGGGTGTGATTTCCATAAGGTTGCAACTTTAAACAATCCATTTAAGGTGCTCCTTCAAATTTTATCATAAGATATAATTTGGATGTAAAATATTCTTAAGATCATCTCAAAATCTATTTTCATATCTAATTATAAAATTTTAAACTCCAAAAATGATTAAAATCAAGTAGATCTATAAATATATGAAAATCTTAAAAATGGACAGTCTAGATAATGTGTTGTAAGATGCACCATTTCTGGGACTCAAAATCCTTTTTTTTTTCATAGTCATTCATCTCGATGTCGAGATGATCAATCAGAGGGTTTTTCAATATTGAAACATATTTTTCCGATAGATTTTTGAGGTGCATCTGTAGTTCTACATTTTAAGGTTGCAACCTTATAAATTTTTCCCATCTAATTATCTTCAAGATATCTCAAT